CCAACATAGAAATATTCTTGTTTGTGTTATTTTGCTGTAAGGTTTGTTACTTTGTAGCACAAGGTTACAAAATGACAGATCTTACCTCAAAAAAGGGCTCCAATGTATATACTGGCACTGAATGGAATATGCATTGTGCACCTTCTGATTGGTTTTGTACTGCTCGGAATCTGTTTGCAGAATGCATTTGACTTGAAGTCCCCGAAAAAATCACCACTCCCGTTGAGAATGGTTGTCTTTGCTATGACTATGTTATGCGGGATATCTATTTGCTCAATGTGTATGAAGCAACTAGGGAGCGATGGCTGGTCAAGAATCGTCAAGATTGAAGTTGTGGAGCAACCATGTAATAAGTCCACAGTTCCTCCTTCTGAGGTTCAATTTGTGCATTATCCTCAACCGATAACTTACAGCAGGTGAGATTTGCCCTGAAGCAAGATTGAGCAATCTGGTTTGTTTAATGCCTAATATAATTTTAATTTCTAGGGAGGAGTGCAAGTGCAATGCTGTCCAATTCTTTGCAATTATATCATCACAGCGATCTGGAAGTGGCTGGTTTGAAACCCTTCTTAACAGCCACATGAATGTTAGCTCCAATGGTGAAATTTTCTCTAGAAAAGAAAGGAGAAGTAACATTTCCTCTATAATAAATACCTTGGATAAAGTGTACAATTTGGATTGGAACAGTAGTGCTTCCAAGAATGAGTGCACTGCAGCTATTGGCTTCAAGTGGATGCTAAATCAGGTGAGGACTAAAACATGCAGTATAGATAATTTATTTGGATGATCCTTTTCATTTATTTTTCATTTAGTTTCAGTATATTTCAATTATTGAATCTGTAGGCTCGTAAACGGTATGTGTTCTCAACTGTAGATGCTAGATGCTATTGCTTATTGCACCAAACTTTCCCCTACTCTATGGAACTTTTGTTTTGGGAATCCCCTTTATGGGACTGTTGGATAGCTAGTTTAATTTCCTGACTTGCTGTCAGAAACACCTTATGCATGGTTACTGATCCACACCCAGGGCTCGGTGGGCTAAATGCTCTGATGCCTTGTTTAGGCAGCGTTGCCTAGAGATGTGCTGATTTTTTTTTCATGAATTTCGTAAATCTAAGTAGGCTGACTGTTTGTGGTTCTAGTGTAGAGCTAGAAAAGTGCAGGCTCTTACTTCAGCTGAACTGCTGAATGCTTGAATGATTTGTTATATACCTTTTTTTGTGAACCTCATGTGTGATTCTAAAATGGATCGTTTCTGACTCGATCTTGAACATGGCATGATTGTCCTGTACTCCTGTGCAGTATACTATTCTTTTGTAGTTTTGTGTTAATTTCATCAATCTGAAATATTCTGGCCTCCAGATCCTGCATTTTAGACAATTTTTTTATTGAACACACAGGAGAACTGCGTGTCATTGCATTAAGAAGAAGAGATTTTGTTACATCTGTTCATTAGATGCATTTTGGACTATGAAAGAGAGTATACTGCAAATGCATATATTTGATACTCCCCCCTTTCCAAATTATAAGACGCTTTGGCTTTCTAGATACTTGCTTTTACTATGCATCTAGACATAGTGTATATCTAAGTACATAGCAAAAACTATGTATCTATAAAAGCCAAAATGTCTTATAATTTGGACGGAGGGAGTAGTTTTCATAGTGTGTCCAGTAGATCAACTATAATCGACATGGCAATCATATTTCTTTCAGGGATTCATCTAATTTGTCTGAGGCTGAAAACTAACGTTTACCTGGTAGACAGATTGACTAATAAAATCATGAATACTGGAAACAAACAAGCATTCTTCTGACGGTCACGTTTTCAGGGTCTTGTGGCAAATCATGTGGATGTAGTGGACTACTTCAATCAAAGAGGAGTCTCTGCAATATTTCTCTTTAGAAGGAATCTGCTCCGTCAGTTGGTATCACAACTAGCGAATAATCATGACAGATCCCTTAAGCAATTAAATGGAACACATAAGGCCCATGTTCACACAAAGCATGAGGTAATGCTATACAAGAAATGGTTCAACTCTGCCTCAGTTATGTAAGCAGTCTCTGAGTGATCTCTATGTCTGATGTGTTATTTTTCCTTCACAGGCTCATATACTTGCAAGATACAAGCCCAGGCTCAACACGACATCACTAACATGGCAACTGAAACAAGCTGATGAATACACTCGTGATGCTCTTCAAAACCTAAATAACACCCGCCACATCACTGTCTATTACGAGGATATCGTTCGCAACAGAACAGTGAGTTCTTACTGATTCATTGTTAACATATTCTGTTTCCTTCCATTGTGTTGCTTACAAGCACTGCATTGTTGCAGAAGCTTTTTGATGTCCTGGATTTCCTCAAAGTGCCGAGGAGGAATCTGGTGAGCCGGCACGTGAAGATACACACAAAGCCACTGTCGGAGCAAATTGAGAACTGGGACGAAGTCTACAGTGCTCTCAACGGTACCCAGTACGAGGGTTTCCTGAATGCCGCTGACTACGTAGTATAACATCACGTCTACAGTCCCTTATAGCCCCCCCTTGTGTGCGTGTGATTCTTTCGTTCTTGTTTTTTCAAGTAGCTGGCCTTGGACGTGCCTGGCAGAAATTTTGATGCGGGGAAGGCGCTTTGCCATGGTTGCATTATTCGAGTCCTGGTTAGCCTCACTAATTGTACACCTGCTTTCCTGATGGCCCTGTAACTGACCCTCGAGCTTCTCTAATCTTTTGCCGCCCGCTTGTAGTGCTTGCTGTGCTGGTTCACATGTGCTTGCGTGCTGTCAGGTGATCTTGCTCTTGCCATCGAGAAACAAAGCTGTGCATCTGAACTGAGGCGTGTCTTTCCATTGGATGTTTCCGGTGGGTAAGACGCTGCGCGATGCAGTTGCCCTTCCGGCTTTAGCTGATACTCCTACAGTATATGATAGCCGGCTTATTGCACCATGGCATAGCTGGCTCTGAAAAACCGGAGGCGGAATTTTCAGCGATCGCGAACTGTTTGGATGTGGGGGGGAATTTTTCGTGTGCCATTAAAAAAGATCGCGATGCTCTGTGAGCTCTTGTAAAAGTTCAGCGGTCTTCAGCGTCAACTTTTTTGTGCTCTTCGTGCCGGTGTCACATTGGAGTGACCCCGTGTTCTTTAGGCGGTCAAATTCATAGTCTTCGTGACCTGTCTCACTGTCGTCCGTCTGGGCACCAGTCGTTGACTAGGACGTCTACACTGGTGTCGTTTCTGACAGACTTTGAAGTCACTTTTGGCGTCCACACGGCTCTCTCAACAAGCGCGAAGCTGTACAAATGTCACGGTCAACGACCGGTAGAGGCCCAGAACAAACCAATTACCCAAGGGCTATGTTTCTGGGCCGAGCAAGCCATGATTCGTGGTGACCGCACCGATGGGCTCTTTCCCTTCGCTATCCCGAAGCATTTTCGGCCTTGTTCCATTCTGCAGTTACGCACCTCTTTTTTTTTCGCAAATGGCCCGCTTATGATTTTTTTTTTTTATTTGACGGAGTCCGCTGCGCTGATGAAAGTTGAACTTGGGGAAGCTCGGAGATGCTGCCGATGGAGTGGAACGACCAGCAACCTCGTAAAAATAATAAAGGCACTGTATAAGGATATAAATCGGCACATCAAATTTGTGCTGAGATGTATAAGGATATAAAATGCTACGTCAGTTTTATGCTGAGATGGAGAAAGGAAGAGAAAATAAGTTAAGTGCAATCGTAAGCCAAAAAGAAGCCCTAAAGACTCATGATGTACTTAGAAGGCAATTCTCAGTGGAAGTTTCATTAGAGCTTCATTTGTATTTAATAAGTCGTGACATGCATTTTCTATAACGTGACAACGTTTTTAGGAAGAGAGAAAAAATGAATTTACATGGATGAAACTCTTTTGTTGCGATTATCAACTCGTGTGAGTCATGAAATTGAATATCGATGAAACCATAGAATGAAACTTTCCATTAAAAATGACTATTTCATCCATGTTTAATTTCATTTTATATGACATGACAATATTAAAAACGTCTTCAAACCATAGAATAAAACTTCCCATTGAAAATGACTATTTCATCCATGTTTAAATTCATTCCGTATGACATGACAATATTGAAAACAACACCTTAATATGTATGAAACCATAGAATAAAACTTTCCATTGAAAATGACTATTTCATCCCTGTTTAATTTCATTCTATATGACATGACAATATAGAAAATAACAACAAAAAAAACTTTTCACTAAGACTAATGGGTACTACTCGACCGCAAGAAGCCGAGCAATTAATATGGATGTCTGCACAATGCCCTGTCTTGTAAAACTTGAAACAAAATATTACTCCCTTTGTCCAAAAAAGGTACGAACGACGTGCATAGATGCAGGCTTTTGCACAAGATCCGATCATGACATCCCCCAATCACACAAAGATGAACCACAGATAAAGCAGCCACCGTAACAATTGGCTTGTCATGGGTTCCCAATCCTGCTCTACCTGGACTGGAACCCGACATGTCTTGTAGCATTCCCAAAGTTATCCCCAAAGTTTCACACAAACGTCTTCACTATTTGATTTTACAGATTTAGAGCTTCCTTATGATAATTGACCAAAGGGGCTGCCCCATTTCTCTTATTACAGGATACTATGCAAACAACAGAAGCACAACTTGCTTAATTGCCAAATTAAGTTAAGAATGTTCTATGGACTACTACAATGGAAAATAAACATCAACATAGGACTACAAGATCACCCCAGGGAGCTGTTGCTAACTACTGAAAAGATTGCACCTGCAATATCAAGTTGCAGCCGTTAGTGAAATTGCACAACAATTGTAAAAAGAGATTACTCAATTAGATTCAGCTGAATATGCAATCATATTACAAGTTGACAATAACAACTCATATTTGTTAGCACCTTTTTAATACTTAGTCATGTAGTAAAAGAATTCATTTGAGTTGAGATATATTCAGTGTTTTCAGTCTTACAAGGTCTAGATTTCTTATGCGAGCTCGAGAACAAGAGCTGATGCTCCGCCTCCACCATTGCAAACACCAGCAACTCCGATCTTGCCACTCTTCGCCCTGAGAACCTGTTAAAAAGGAACAAGGATTATGAGGGTCGAGCACCATATATTTGATGTCCCAACATGATGACAACAGATTATGCCCAAGATTTTGCTTAAAGAAAATGAGAGAAACTACTGATCAGCAGCAAGAACCAAGAAGTGAAACAAGGGATGGGGTGGCTCTCATAATATGAGTCAAATATCAATGTGAACTCCACATTTGCAGGTTTATACAAGATCCTATTTGCAGATAATTTGCAAATTGAAAACCACTAAGGTAGTGTTTGGTATAGGGATGGGGTGGCTCGATCCCACATAGAACCCAGTAGCAATAGTGAAGATGTTTACTGTTAATCGCGAACCCTATGATGATATGCTAAATTATTTGTCAGAATTATTATTTACTCAAAGACTGGCATCTAATTTTTTACTACAAAAACATTGCACATCTTTAAACAAAAGGGATTGTATCTCAGAAGATAAAGCAAGCATCTTAAGATAGAACTTACACCAATAAGGGTAACCAAAATGCGAGCACCACTGCACCCGAGAGGATGTCCTAAACATACAGCTCCTCCATGAACATTAATCTTTTCCTGCAAACACATATGTTGTTAGCACAGAGAATACTGTTATCATGCAATTACATGTTGCTGTTGCATAGCAAATAACAAAAGAGCCAATGTGTACTTTCTGAAAATGAGGTTTAACTTTTAAAATCCACAAAGAATGGCAGTTTAATACAGGTGACACTTACTGAAGGAATCCCAAGAAGCTTTTGATTTGCAAGTGCAACAGCCTGTATTGATAAGTAAAAAGACATATTATTACAAAAAAAAAAAGTAATCAGTAAAACAAACTCTCAATGCATAACAAAGAAGGCTTACAAAAAATTAAGTAGTGAGTAAAAGAAACTCAATACATACCGAAAAGGCTTCATTAATCTCATAGAAATCAACATGGGATGACTCTAATCCAGCATTTGCGATAGCCTTTGGTATTGCAAGTGCTGGAGTGGTTGTAAAAAGCTCCGGAGCCTGTATAAACAGCATCCATATTTACAAAATAATATTCCAGATTACAAATTCCAATAGTTGATAAACTTTGATATCTAAAATAAAAAACATAAAACCGTTCCAGATAAAATAACTTCTTATATCCTAAAATATTTAGATCACACTGTAAATTAGAATAAGCGCACTCTACTCTTAAGGGAGCTAACAACTGTTACTGTGGTTTACTTGAGCTGCATCAGCATATCCTTTGATCCTTGCATGGACTTGCAGGCCAAGCTCTTGAGCCTTCTGCCCACTCACCAAAACTAATGCAGCAGCTCCATCACTGATCCATATAAAACAAATTAGATATGCCTGGTTGCAGAAGGCTACACAAGCAATAACAGGCAGTACACTGGGCAGTACTAAAAATAGACATCACAAAGTGAAATGAACAAGGTCTAGGGCAACCATGAAGAAAAAAAGTAGGCCAGTTTTTGTTGTTTGAATGGACATAATAAGACATTAAAAATGATTTTACTTATGTGATAAATCATTTACACCGATTTCGGTAGCAATTCTGAAGAAAAAGTTATCATTTATTTAACAAAGTAGAGCATACCCAAACAGTCTAAAAACAAATAGAGAAGCAATGAAGTCAACAAAATGCATGCATAATATAAATAATATAATTTAACTGTCAACAATGAAATAGGCTGTCCTTCAGACCTGTTAGCTAAACAACATATGGCAGAAAAAACAAGGTCTCAGAAAGCCTTTTGTAGGACAAAAAGGTCTCGGAAATAATTCAAGCAGCTACCTTATACTAGAAGCATTTCCAGCTGTAACTGTACCACCATTCTCCTTGAAACTTGGGCGAAGTTTCTTTAGTTTTACTGGGTCAAACTAAGAGACAAAAGAAATAGCACAAGACATAAATTAAACTGTCATGCATTGATCTTACAATAACTGTTAACAAGCTCATTATGCGAGGGACGTTGCATTTGGAGGAAGCAAGAATAATGAATCAAGTGCCTGCCAGTCTTTTTGCCTTTGACCAACTACAAGTTTTATTTTGTTCAAAATATTTTGTTACATCAGAGAAAAAAAATACCTTATCCAGGCTTTCATCTTTGTCAATGAGTGTTGGGGGTTTTCCTCTACCAACAGGAACTTGAACCTAGGGGACAAAACATTGAACATAAGAAAACCAAGCAAAGCACATAATGTCTAGTATCATCAATGAGGGAGAAAATTACTGGGACGATCTCCCATGTAAAAGCACCACTGTCGCGAGCAGCAATTCCACGCTCGTTGCTTTGGATAGCAAATGCATCCTATGCAAGAGTAAGTAAAATCAAATATATCATAAATTGGAAATATATTTATTGCAATATAGACAAAAATGCATTGCAACAGATAAATGAAAATTCAAAGGCAACTGACAATTTTAATTAATACTATATCAAATTTATTAAGAAGAAGAATTACGTAAACAGACACAGGTATAAAATTGTAATGTCGTGTACTGATGAGAAGCTTTTAAGAGATTAATATTTCTATGGTTCTAACAAGAATACAAAAGGTGCTCTTTTTTGGCTCTGTTTGGCTTGTGACCGCAGGTTGCTATAACTGAACTCTGGCTGCGCCAAAAGTCTAGCGTCCATTTTGCTCACCCAACATTTGGCGTCAAAAGTTGCCGTTGAGCACAACAGACAAGCATATAGAAGTGCGGCATGCCAGAGATGCGTCAAAAAGCAAACAGTGGCCAGAGTGAGTGTGGCACGCCAGACTTATGGTTCGGCAAGTTTGGGACATAAACCAAACAGGCCCGCACATCTACTTCTATCTTTGGAAGCAAATGAATGGTTAGTTCACAGACCCAGAGCATGCATAAGCCCACCCTCTCAATCATGCCATAACCTGACAGAAAATCATTGCCCGAAAGGACCCCAGTTACTAGACAAGGAATGCAGATGCTGGTCTAGACCATTTAGGATGATAACCAAGATAAAGCAAGAAGAATCCAGGGCACTCTCAAAAGAATGAGACTTTTCCCTGTGTGCCATTATAAAAGATCGCAATCCCCTGTGTGCCCCTAGAAAAATTCAACGGTCTTCAGCGCCACTACTCTAACTTTTTCGTGTCCTCCATGCCACTACCATCAGTTTGGGCTCTATAATTTTCATATAAATTTATTTTCATCAAACTACAGGTGTGAAAAGATTAAAAATACCTTAAGTCTAAATATGTTATTAATTTTTTTTAGCATCTTAACTTAAATGAAAATAAACTCAAAACTAAAATTATAGATCTCATGAGATCTATAATTTTCATATTTTAGTTTTTCATTTAATTCGTAAAAAATGCTCATTTGATATAATTAATATATCTTAGAAAATCATCATTTTCGTTTTTCACAATTAAATTGAAAATAGATTATCAAAATTATAGATCTCGACGAAGCTGGCATCTGGAGGACACGTAAAAGTTAGAGTAAAATAAAAGACCATATGAATTTTTCCAGGCGTTAAAGCATTGGGCATTACGATCTTTTATAATGGCACATTGTGGAAAAGTCTCCAAAAGAATTGCTAAAATTGAGCATTGACAACTGAATACCACAACTTATATCTTGACAGATAGGGGAATATATTAATATATTATATACTATAACAAACGGCATTTACTGTTGTCTGTATCAAGAGACCTGGTCTTCTCTTGTGAGGGCATGATTGTCAGCACAAAGCTCGCACACATTCCCATGGCACAATCATTGTATACATCCCAAAGCCCATCCTTAAGCATGGCGTCAACAAGTGTGTCATGACCAAAACGAGACCCTTCCTGCATTTGTAATTAGCAAGCTTATTGTATTAAAGCAGTTGAAATCCACTTCAAACAAGAACATAATATACTTTCACAATAAAACTGGTCACTTCATTAATAGCCTCGCCATTGGTGAATCGACATATCTTACAAACAAATTTAGAAATTGCAATGCAAATAAGTAAACATGCATGTACCCACCAAATAACTTAAGATTATAATTTGGTTTATGCAGCTCGATATTGGGTGTATCCACCAAATAATAATTGCATACCTAGCTTCAGCAATGTACTTTGGGGCATTGGACATGCTTTCCATGCCACCTGCCACAACAATATCATTGATACCCAATTGAATTGACTGTGCTGCAAACATAGTAGCTGCATATAGGAAAGAAAAGCAAGAGCATGGTCAGGTAATCTCTCACTTCTGTGAACTTTGAGCAGTGTATACAAGGACGGACAGATAAATTCGATTCAAACCTTTCATGCCAGATGCACAGACTTTGTTAACAGTGGTGCAAACAACAGAGTTTGGTATCCCGGCACCCAGAGCAGCTTGCCTTGCGGGAGCTTGTCCCAAATTAGCACTCAAGACATTTCCAAAGTAGACCTCCTGCACGAGGGCTGGATCCACATTTGCTCTTTCCAGAGCAGCTAACAGCCCCAGCCATGGCCATGTCAGTGCTATTGGGGAGAAACAAATATAGCTTGTTCAGAGCTCAGATGTAAATGCAGAGAAGATTCGGATCTCACCTTGAATTGCTATAGAGCCAAGTTTTGTAGCAGGCAAGGAAGACAAGGCACCAAGGAAACCACCCATAGGGGTGCGTGCGACCCCGACAACACATACATCTGCGAGCAAGGAAGAAAAAGTTACTGACTGTAGAACAAATCAGAACCATCTAGTATGCATGCACCTCACAGTATATCTATAGTAATGTGTAAACCGTGCTTATAGTTCCATCTGATGGTACAAACCAAACACACATGAAAAGCACATACTGGCATACTGCACTACCAGTGAATCACTTGTTCCAATTGGAGCTATACCAACAATGATGGCAGTAGATGCTACAACCAAGTACGTGTGTAGCACTCCCTTCTGTGCAACCCGAAAAGGCAAAAACAGAACTTGTGGTAATAATATAAATGCATTTTGCAGTAACTTTTTAGTAGCAACAAACTTTGGAAGACAATGGATTCAATCAAGCAAACGGATCAGGGACTACAAGGACGAGATCAAGAGCATGGAGCAGCTAGAATGCCCTAATGGATGCAGACAGGCACTAGAATTACACGGAAAAGCGACAAATTTCGGCCTTGCAAGCTACAAAAAAACAGAATTCCCAACATATCAGATCGCTGGAAGCGCAATGGCGTGCTCATTGCCCAAAAATCTATCTTTGTACCTCTCGGCGTCTTGACGTCTGTCTGTTTGAACACAAGAAGAAGAGACGAAAAATAATACCTCTGGGGCGATGCCGTCGGAAGCCATGGCCGCCGGTCCGAAGTGCCGAAACCAACCGACCTGCGAATCAGGGGCGGGCCCAGTGAAAATGGTCAGATCCGAATACAAATAGTAGATTGGGAGAGTTCGGGGTGTTTGAATTCTCACAGAGGAACGGAAGGGACGGCATACCTGGAGTATGCTGTCGCCGGCGAAGCGGCCGACGAAGACTGATCGAATGGCGGCGCCGCTAGGAAAAGAAAGGCCGAGAGAGAGAGAGAGAGAGAGAGAGTGGGAGAGGTTGAAGCGGAGGAAGAAAAAGGAGGGTTGGTGTTGGTGTTTTTTTTTTTGACAATAATTGGTGTTGGTGTTGGGTGTTGGCAAACGCAAGCACGCAACGCAACCCCACAGGCAAATCTCCTGAATGCATATTTTTAAAATCGGACTGGCTAGCGCCGGACGCCCCATCCGCAACGCTAGCATCGGACGGTAGCTGTTCAACGAGCGTGTTGAGCTTGCGTTCGAACGTTTCAGCAGTGTGCCCGCGTCAACCGTTGGAACGTATAAAAGAAGACATACAAACACTTTGAGTATGTGTCTCAAATATTTATAAAAACATCCGAAAACACTTGAAAATCATTGCAAACATATATAATATTTATATAAAACAATTGCAACAGTTGTTCAATGAGCGCGTTGAGCTTGCGAGCGAACGCCCCAACAGTGCGCCCAACAATTGGAACATATAAAAGAAGACACATGAAACACTTGGAATATGCGTCTCAAACACTTGTAAAAAACCTAAAAAACACTTGAAAATCATTGCAAACATATGCAACATTTAGATGAAACAATTACAACAGACGTATGAAACGTCTTAAACGCTTCAATCATACGCTCGCAACATGCAAGTATATGCAACATCAAGATCTACTTTGCTGAAAACACTTGCAACATATGTCTGATACGAATGAAACATTTGGAACATACTCTCTCCGTCCCAAAATAAGTGCGCTATGGTAATCGTGCAGGTCTAACTTTTTTAAGTTTGACTAGATTTGTAGCAAATATTAGCAATGTTTGTATCTCTAAACAAAATTATTATAAAAAATAGATTCAACGATCTATCTAATGATAATAATTATGTACTATAAATATTAATATTTTCTTGTATATATTTGGTCAAAGTTGAAAGCGTTTGACTTATCGAGAAACAAGAACGACATTTATTTTGGGACCGAGGGAGTACACTTGAAACATACGTGTATAGCCATTGCAATATGTGTAACATCCTGATATACTTTTGCAACACTAATATAAAACATTTGTAACATACCTATGAAACATATATTTGCAACATGCGCTTTCAGCGTAACATCTCCTTGCTACTTGGGAACGGAGGCTCATTGGTGTGTGGAGTTTGGTGGTGTAGACCTCGCCGCTCCGGTGAAGAAGGTCATGGTAGGTCTAGGAGGAGGGTTGCGTGGCCCCCGGTGAGCTGCTGCGCTGCCCTCGCAATAGGGGCGTGTGCGATGCCCTTGGCAAGTGGCACTCATGGTGGAGGCGGCAACAGTGGTGGGATGGGTGCCGTGCCCGCGGCGAGGCGCCTCAACGCTGGAGAAGGTTGTGGCGAGCAGCAACCGCGCTAGAGAAGGCAAGCGGTGGGGAACGCGCGCAACGGCCGTGAGAGTTGGGAAATAATGTCGCAGTCTTTTTTTAGAAACTATGAAGGAAGGTAGAGACGAGCTGGATTATTGGGCTGGTAGCACATAGCCTAGGAAGCACGGAGTCCGGACGGGACCACAACATTTCCGTTTTAAAATAGTCTTACATAGAGCATCTACATAAGTCTTTCTATTCTATCTAAATTTGGAGAGCCATCTATATAAAAGTCGCTTTCTATATGTTTTCATTCTCTAACCGTTTTTCTATATTTTGTGTACACTTAAAAGAGCCATTTTCGCTATTTATCTTTGGCTAGTGAGAAATCTGAAATAAATGATGGTTATATTTGGATAACCACTTAGAGAAGTGGTTAAAGAGTAATTTTTCATCAAAATCTTCAATCCTAACAATCAAAAAGGACAATGAGAGTCTCTTGGAGTTGCACTTATGTTAGAAGTATATTTTCTATCGTATAATAAGTAAAGCGTTAAAAGCTATTTTTGGTTTTTTTGCCATGTTGCCTTCCTTTTTCTCTCTTTTCTAAGGGAAAATAGCAACACTGCTCATTTATTTAAGAAGGAAGCAAACCAAATTTTACATAAGTGAATAGTACATAAGAAATTAATGTATTGGTTTTTGGTCATGTTATCTCAGGTCTCTCCTTTCTTGTTAAAAAAAGTAGGAGTACTTAGTGTGTTTGATCTCATATTTTAGGCCATGTGCATCCTAAAGGCATTGTTGGCGGTGTTTTATATTCTCAACTTTGCACGAGAATCCGTATACAAGGATCTTATAGGGTGTGTCTGGTTGTTTGCATTGGTCTATATCAGGGCTTATGATGTAAAATTATTTTCTTGTTTAGTTGCCCACATAGATCCTTATGCATGTTTACACTATGCCAAGACTGCATTAGCTAGTACTCAAGGTGTTGTCATATACTAAATACTTTTTTTACCCTAAGTTTGATCACTCGTCTTATTCAAAAATTTGTGTTAAATATCACTTTTTTTTGTTGTGGCTTGCTTTATTAATAAAAGTTCTTCAAGAATGACTTAAATTTGAGTATGTTTGTATACATTTTTTTAATAAGACGAGCGGTCAAACTTAGGGTCAAAAAAAATCAAATAAATTATAATTTAAAACAGAGGAAGTATTAAACAATGTAGGTTTGCACAAGTACCTCTATAAGAACATGAAGGTATCAACAGGCACTACAATACAAAGTAACCAAACATAACTTTACTAGATGCAACCAGTGGCGGAGCTAGAGCAAAATCAAGGAGGATGTGCTAGCCTTGTGGATGCATAGAATTTTATAGTGTGGGTGCATATATGGTGAAAAATTAAACATAATCACTGTTTTTCTGATTTTTTGTGGGTGCAGCCTCACCCCCTACCATGACTATGGATCCACCCCTGGATGCAACGTGCATATAGAGAACAATCGATATATGCCTACATCTCAGTATATATACAGGTATTTTCTCCATTCTAAATTATAAGTCACTTTGACTTTTTTAATAAATTTATTTTACTATATATCTATATACAGCGGCGGATCCAGGAAATATTTTAGGGGGGGGCTGAATAATACTGCTGCTCGATCTTAAGTCTCAGCCCCCCTACACTATAGAACTTTACCTAAAAATTCATATGAGCTCTACAGTAATTTGCACTGTTTTTGGATGGGTAGGGGGGGCTTGAGCCCCCCCCCCCCACCCCACTGCTGGATCCGCCCCTGTCTATATATATATAGCAAAATAGATAAATTAAAAAAAGTCAAAATAACTTATAATTCAGAACAGAGAGAGTATATTATATATTAGTTGTTCATTCATCGAACCAAGCAAGCATGTGTTCTGATGCACAGGAGTATGTCCTGTCGTCCCGACGTTTCTCGTGTTGAGGGCCGAGGTCGCCGCTGGAATCTGTGTATCTTGTGGCGGGCGGAGTGCACGAGGTGAAGGTCACCTCTTTGTGTGTGTGTGTGTGTGGGGGGGGTGGTGGTGGTGGTGTTTCGGACTACAGGTGCCACCCGGAACAATCAACAATGGCATGCATTTGAGATCCGACGGTGGTTTAATTTGGACGGTTTACATTGCATTTTTTTAAGTTCAATTTGCTTCACCGAGCAGAGCATGGGCTCTCATCTCACACCATGGTACGTTATTATGCGATCTCCATCTAAGATCTGAATCAGACAACGGTTCAACGCTTTTTTCCCTTCAAATCAAGTAGTGCTAAAAAGAAATTCACAATGGACATAAAAAAAAAGAAATTCACAATGAACGGAAAGGAAAAGAACACCAGCAACATTTCATTACATCACGGTGTTTATTCCATTCCCCCCATATACATCAGTCGGAGGTCATCTGCCCAATCAATCGATGGTGGGTCTAGAAACCTTTAGAGCTCTTCTTTGCTCACTTCCATGTTTGTAAAAATTAAGATGAGCTAAAGAAGGGGCTCTATTATTGTCGCAAAAGCGGTAGAGGGGGCTTGAACCTGTCCCACCACAAGATCCGCCCTTGAAATCTATGGAAATAGATTCAAACTTTTGGATCCGTCTTCTAATTTGTTTCATAGGAGATGAATCTCTATTTTCTAATATTAAAGAGCGAAACACTTCTTCCAATTCATTTTTTATTATTACCAAACATGCTCTCGGTTTTGGTAGGTCCCGTGTTCTTTTTTCACTTTTTTCATTTCTTGTTTTTCTTTTTTGTTCTGCCCATGCGCCTAGTTTTTGCGCGATTGTTATTTCTTTTTCCTTTTTCATTTTCTTTTATTGGTTTTTTGCTTGTTCGCCCCATGACTTTTTTTCTAATCCTTTTGTTTTTCTAGCTGGTCTGTTTGGATTCTCTCCTTAGATCTCTAAAAACTTTAGAGCTTTTTAGCTCACTTTGGAGCTATAAAGCTCTAATGTGAGGTGATCTAAAGTTTAGAGCTAATGTTAGATCACTTATTTTTTTTAGAGCTTTAGCTCAATATCTCCACTGACGCTTTTATGTAGTCTGGACGATCAACATCAACTAATTATAATAGATAACAAGACCTTCTACTAGCAAAAACAACCAAAATGAATCATCATGATTAAAAAAATTTCAATCTAGGCATCATATGATAGAGCATAATTTTTTTAAAAGAAACTGAAATTAGTTTCATAATTTTTCAGCTACACAAAATTTCTATGAGTTTTCAGATATTAAACCAAATTTTAGGATTTTTAATTGCATTATTTTTTAATGTAAAAAATATTTTTTGAAGATATTTTTAATGAATTTTAGATATTTTCTTAAATTTATTGTTGATTCACGTTCCTAAACTTTCAACTTAGTTTGATTTATTATGGTTGACTTGACGACACATAGGACCGCTGATGTGGTGCCAGATCTGGAAAAATCATCATCAAAACCGTCTAGACTGTAAAAGCAAATAATTTTGAAAGTTCAGGGAGGAGGGAACGGTTTTTGTAGATGACGATACAAATCGGAAAAAGGTGAGGGAAACTTTTTCAACGTTTTTTTTTTTTTTGAGCAGAACTTTTTCCACGGATAAAAGACATCGATGGCAGGCATAGGCCAATTCCTATGGCCCAAGACATTTTAGCTGTCATGGACAGCCCAAATCTGGTCTTCCTGGAGTGGGCCAAGCTCCTCCTCAATCGTAGGCCTAGCATTAGAAAGTGTGAGCTGTTCTAAATATTTTTAATAACCATTTCAAATTCCAATACAAAACAACAATGTACCAAATCAGGGCTTTGCTCATTTTGATATGACTAAAGTGCAAACTGTTACCCCTATTAACATAAAGCAATTTAGTCATATCAAAATGTGGAAACCCTAATTAATTTGGTAAATTATTGAATCAGACATCATGCAACTTCTGCAACACATTTTAAAATTTGAGGAATAGGTAGAGAACATTGGACACAAGGAAATGGATAAATCAAATTATTATAGATCAGTAAAATGAGGCAATAAATTCATTGTGCAGAGAGAGAGAGAGAGAGAGAGAGAGAGAGAGAGAGAGAGAGAGAGAGGAAGAAAAAAAGAGAGAACAAACAAGGAATAAGAAGAATGAAGCTAAGTTTCTAGCTAGTTTACACAACACCAAGCAACTTCCTCCCAACCCCATTGTTGGTGGCGGCATGGCCGGCACCAGGGCTGTGTCCAGGATCCGTCGCTCGGGTGTCCTCTCTGAGGACGCCACCACCGGCTGCGCCGCCACTCCCGGTGCCGTCCGGCGAGATTGTGCCTGGGGCCATCGTCCCCCTGTGTCCCCGATGGGAATGAAAAAACTTGAACCAGGCCTAGATCGAACTGCCGGCTTGTATGGATGCACGTACGCTGCCCATGCCCTTGACCCTGTCCCTCGTCTCTCTCTCCTAGACTTGCTAGCAGTTAATAAGGAGGTCGAGTTCATGTACTGTCAGATGGAATCTCTGCCACGAAGCTAATTTTTATTAGGCCGATCAAAGTACACTTCTTAGGAAAACTATTGCAGCTAGCTAGTATATGCCTGGCGAGATTAGCCGCACTAACTTGCATTGTGTACGAACAATGTGACCGACGGCTGGCGGCGCAGCCATGCATCTCGCTTTATACGCGCACGCGCGTATATTCTCTTTGCATGCAGCTGGAGGCACTCCACTCCAACGACAACCACTGGCTTTAGTTTGGCCATTTAGCCTGCAGACCTTGTCTGCTCCAAATTAATGACGGCACTAGCCCTAAGTACACTCTAAAAGCCACCAGAGGCAGCCGCCATTGCCTTATATATTCTAGCTAGCTAGCTAGCTCAAATTATAATTCGGTTGGCTTCTCTACTAGGTACATAATTTTTTGCTATACATTATATCTACATTGCATAACTTTTGTTGTGTATCTATAAATGCGAGAATGACTTATAATTTAGAACGGGAGGGAGTACTTGAGGAGCTCAAGAAAACTTGTAAGTGAACAATACTAGTGCTCAATGCTAGCTCCTAGCTGCCATGTGATCTTGCGTTTGGTATGCCAAACTGGACGTAAAAGAAAGTACGAACTACCTGTTATGTAGTACTATATATATTATTAACTCCAATGGCTCTGAGCCAGTGTATGGAGAATCTGAATCTAGGTCTTGTTTAGATTGTAAATTTTTGTAACCTGAACACTGTAGCACGTTTCGTTTGTATTTGACAAACTTTGTCTGATCATGGACTAACTAGGCTCAAAAGATCCATCTCGTGATTTACAACCAAACTGTGTAATTAGTTTTTTTTTACCTACATTTAATGCTCCATACATGCGTCTAAAAATTGATGTAATGGAGAGAGAGTGAAAAAACTTAGAATTTGGAGGCAATCTAAACAAGGCCCTACAGATGAGATTCACCTTGACCCTCCACGCACCTTTAATTTGGAAGAGATATTCCAACTGCATCGCAAGATTCCTTTCACCACTACTCATCGTTGAATATATATTAATAATTTTTTGTCGTCTTTCATGTGCTACCATGTAATTTTGCATCTTTCCAGCTACATACACATCTTTACAACTATATGCCTTAAGATATTAATTATGTGATAATAACAAGGGACACTAAGGCATGCATTTTCACCCTGCTGCCAAAATAAAACTAACATACATCTATAAACACGTACGTCGGCTTTTTGCATTGCATGTGAGTATTCCAATTATTAAGTCTCCTTTCTGTATATGTTGATGTCTTTATTTATACAAGTTGCTCTTCGAGACGGCTAGCTAGGGTGGTCTCATATATACTCATACAATCGCTAGCATGTAATAACAACTATTTTAGGACAATGTAGCTAGTAGCCACCATGCAGCATGCATGTGTGTGCCCTTTTTGACTGGACTGGAGTCCAGTATGTATGTACAACTAACTCATATACAAGTGCACCCAAGTAGGATTATAACTATACGTAGTACTTCAAGCAATCCCAATCAAGCACAATCTCTGAGACTGGATCTTAGATGTCTTGTAATAACGAAAGTACTTCAAACATATGGTATTTACGTACGTACGTAGTTACTGCATTAATTTTTACCTAATTAATTAAAATAGAGCTAGCTATATATAGGAGCCTCTACCTATCACTGTCAAACATATGAATAAACCCGCGCTTCGCGCGGGCAACAGCGAACGAAAAAAAAGGAAAAAACGTCCTTAGCGGGTCTGGCACTGTTCATCGTGATCCATCACTGTTCATCTACACCGATCTGTGAGCGGGGCGCACCGGATGAACAGTAGCCTCGACGTGACCCCCTCAAACTTATATTCTTTTATAGATGACGGAAGGCGCAAAGCAGGGATATTCGGCGTCGTCCCTTTTTCTAGTGAGTTCCCAAGACGAAGAGGAGGACAGAGGACACGTACGCTCGATCTGGCGACAACAGATGCAAAAGCTCATTCAGTATTAGTATTCAGTTCTGTAGTTGTTGGAGTATTGGACGGTTTCCAGTGGATTAATTAAGCATGCATACTGTATTATATGTCCGTACAGGACGGTTAGTTGGACACAACTGCTTTCAGGCAGCTTGGTTTTTGCTCTTTTTTGTTAAAAAAAACCAAGCTGCTTTTCCTCATCTCTGCTATGTTGTTAATTAATTTATCTTGTAAGAATTATATACTGGGCGCTGCCATTCCACTTTGAACACTTTCTTTAGGAAATAGTATTATATAATCATCCTACTTGAGTCCCATGCGACCGGACGCGCTGTTAGAAATGACCGGACGCTGAGGCACAGCGTTCGGTCGAGTCCAGAGAGCTCCCAGGGCTGACTGGACGCATGAGACGCAGTGTCCGGTCGAGTCCAGAGAGCTCCCCGGGCCGACTGGACGCATGAGACGCAGTGTCCGGTCGAGTCCAGAGAGCTCCCAGAGCCGCTCTAGGCCAACTGGACGCTCCCAGCATCCGACCAACTGTAACGCTGAACACCGGCACTCGCTGTCCGGTCGCTCTCTGCGACACTGCTTCGAGCTATTTCACTTTGACTGGACGCTGAACAGTAACTCGTCAGCGTCCGGTCACTCCGCTGACCAGAGTCCGGTCACTTTCACTTAGTCGCTCACCTCGGGTCCAAATACCGGACGCGTCCAGTGTGGCGACCGAACGCGTCCGGTCACTTCAGTCAGACTGCCCCAAGACAGGATGAAATACCGGACACGTCTGGTAGACATACCGGACACGTCTGGTCACTCTGTGACCACCGCGACTAACTCCTTTTCAACTATTTCTTTCTTCACCTTTGCTCAAATGTGCCAACCACTAAGTGTAACACCTTGTGCACATGTGTTAGCATATTTTCACAAACATTTTCAAGGGTGTTAGCACTCCACTAGATCCTAAATGCATACGCAATGAGTTAGAGCATCTAGTGGCACTTTGATAACCGCATTTCGATACGAGTTTCAACCCTCTTAATAGTACGGATATCGAACCTAAATGTGATCACACTCGCTAAGTGTCATGATCACTGAAACGAAAAGGCTCCTACCACTTATACCTTTGCCTTGAGCCATTTATTTTTCTTTATCCTTTTCCTTGTCCGAGCACTTGATCATCACCATGGCAACACCATCATCATGTCATGATCTTCATTTGCTTCATTACTTGGAGTAGTGCTACCTATCTCTTAATCACTTCGATAAACTAGGTTAGCACTCAGGGTTTCATCAATTCACCAAAATCAAACTAGAGCTTTCACCATGGTGGTTGGAGGTCGTGGGCCCTGGTTGAGGCCCTACACGCCCTAGCAGATCTAGGCTGGAGGCCACCACGACAGTGGAGGTCGCTACCTTCTGCGGTGGCGGTGGATCGATAGGTAGTGGTGGGTGTGTGGCATTCGCTGTAGCCATGGCGGGTTAGCGACAAGCTCGACAACACATCAACATGGCGATGCTCGGATCCAACCAGGGGTGGGCTTTAGATTGGGCTCGGCAATGGGCTCAGTAACGGGCTCTCTTGCAGGTTCGTGTTTTTTTTATATTTTTTCAAATCTATTTTTAGGGGTGGGCACATTGATCGCCTCTGGAAATCCGGATTAACTGTGATGTTTAGATCTGTAAATTACTTTTGGCCGACTCTGAAATGGATTCAGTAGTAGTGTAGTATGTGTGCATCCAAACATTCTCGGCTCTAACTTTAGTGAACCTACTTGTCTCGACCCCTCAATAGCATAGTCAAAGAGAAAATAGTAGGTAATACATACTAAGTTTATGTGTGACCAACATCAAGTTTAGCACTTAGACACTACTATGTCTTTATCCTTCACAAATATGTTTGCTCCATACTCCAAATCTGAAGTCCGAGGGCCAAAATAACCATGCGGTCTCAATGTGACTAATAACACTTTGTCAATATATCCCTACTGAATAAAGTTAGCCATATATATCCTTATGCTCATCGTTCAGCCAACACTAGTACAAAATTTTTATTGGAGGCGGGCAAAAAGGGTTAATGGAGGCGGGCATTGCAACCGCCTCCAATCAAAGGTCACGGTTAATCGTGACTTAATGGAGGCGGTTGCCCTACCCGCCTCGGTTAATCCATTAACGGAGGCGGGGCGACTTAGGGTGCCCGCCTCCGTTAATTGTTTAAAAAAAAATAAAAAAGCCCCAGTGAGCCCAATCGAGCCCACCGTCGAGCCCAACTGAGCCTGCCGCCGTCGCGTCCACGCTGCCGCATCTAGCTCGAGGCTCCCCGTCGTCGCCGGATCTGGCCCTGCCATCGCCGGATCTGGCCCCGCGGTGGCCGGAGCTGGACCCGCCATCGCCGGATCTGGCCCCGCCGTGGTTGGATCTGGACCTGCCCTCGCCGGAGAAGGACCTGCCGGCTACAGATTTGCAAAGAGGAGAGAGCGATGAGTGATGGAGATGAAGAGAGGAAGATAGAGGGAGACGGGGAGAGAGAGCGACCTACCTCCGCCGTCCAACCCCGCGCCACCGCGCGTCGCGCGCCGCAAGTCCCTGCGGCACCACGACGCCAGGCCCCGTTACTTTATATACTCGACACTAGGTATTGGGCCCAGGAATAGTAATGGGTTGGGCCAGATCTTTGGAGGCGGGCCTTATAAAATAACCGTATCCAAAAATAGATTTATGGAGGCAGTTGTCTTAAGACGCCCGCCTCCGTAAATGGACTATTTAATCGATTTTAGGAGGCGGTTGGTTTTTGACCGCCTCCATTAATTGATTTTACGAGGCGGGCAAATGTGACTACCTTTGTAAATGGAAACGACCACCTCCGTTAATCGCTCG